AACAATATAATTATCCAGCAACCATACACATTTAAAAACATATGTCGAGCCAAATTTTTGATCCGACCATATTAACATTTAATATATTTATATCAGTAAAAACATGTATAAAATTTATTTGGTCATTTTATTTTATTTTTTTTTAGAATCTATTTAAAATAATTGAAATTAATTACAATTACCAATGGTTATTTACAAATTATATATATATAATAATTTCTTATAAAATGACTATAAAAGGTAACAATTTTTTTTCTCTACTAATGTCAACATTACATTTAGCTAATTTAAATATTTTTGAGAACTTATAATATATAAAAAATATGAATAGGAAATCGGTAAACAGTTTTGAATACACATCAATGATATATTGTGGAAATAAGGGTTCGACTGGTCAGTTCATTTATTTTGATTGTGGAAAGATAAATAAGGTTTCATAACATTAATATACAGGGTGTCTTAATTTTAATGACCGAACTCCAGGACATGATTCAAGATAAAATTAACAAAAATGTTCATTTGATTCATGGGCTGATTCTGAACGAAAAAGTTTTTTCCTGTCACGCTTTTTATTGAATAAAAAGGAATTACTTAAAAATTGTTCAAGATAATTGAATTATAAGTACAACTTTTTAAAGTAGACAAAATTATTATGAAAAAACAGTGATTAAATTTACTTAGGTCAATGATAAAAGGAACTTTCATGTCTACTACTGCTGCTATACGAAAATATGCTGCTCATTGGTACGGTAACAGTAGCCGTATTGTACCTTCTGAAAGTCCCTTTTATCATTAACCTTAGTAAATTAAAGTCCCTTTTATCATCGACCTTACTATATTTAATCAATATTTTCTCAAAAAAATGTTTTCTACTTTACGGCAGCGTACTTAGAATTTAATTACCTTGAACAGTTTTTGAGTAATTTTTTCTTATTTAATAAAAAACTGTCTATCTTAAGAAAACACAAAAAAGGTCTTAACTCCTTTTCCTTTCAGAATCAGCCCTTGCCGCTAATGAACTTTTTTGTCGGAAATTTTGTATAGAATCAAACCACAAAGTTTGCCCATTAATAATTTAAATCCTCTGTATATAATCACATAAAAAAAAATTAGGAAATAATTTTATAAAAATAAAACATTAATGAAAATGTACTAATTATTTTTTAGTTATTATGTTGAGCAATTATTATGATATTACTTTATTTATATGTATGTTTATGTGTATGTATGCATGAGTATTCAAAAATGAAAATGAAATCAATAAATATATTGAGTATTAACCATGAATTTTTTTAAACTAATGCACAAAGGAGAAAATGTTTTTTTTTCTTCTAAATATTCAGTAGAATATAGTTCAAAGTTGAAAAGATTTAAAGATGTTGTAAAATAAGGCAATAAAATGGCAGTGAATATTAAAAGATTCAACCGAAAAGGGGAAAAACAAGGCATATTTGCGATTTTCAGGTGCAGGGTTATTAGGTATTTTATGTACTAATTATTAAAATAAAATGAAATTTAAGACTCAAAACTTTTACTAACATAAAAGGTTGTAGAAGTGTTTAACAATGATGATTAACAATATTCATTCAATATTGTTGACTTTTGAATATTTATTAAAAATCCTTGGTAGTAAGTGAATTATATTATTATTATTTTTTTTATCTTGTCAAAATGAACTTGAGCTGTTAAAACAAGAACCATTTGAAATGTATTTATTTTTTATTTTCCCCAACATGCCTCCAATAGTCATTTTTTCCCTCGATTCATCGACAATTCTAACCTCATTTTTTTCTGTTTTGACTTTTGTCTACTATTAAAAAATAGCAGAAACCGTTTTTAATAATTTTTTAAGACTGTAGTCCCCAAATTGAAAATCAAATGTGTTATAAGAATTGTTAAGTTTTTATCTTGACTTTGGACGAAACGTCCGCTAACCTAGTAAAAATTCTTGACTGTGAATCCTGACAAATTTTTTTTGATCCTACAAGAATTATGTTGCAAAGTATATAATTTTTTTAATTAATTACAGTAGAGTACAGATCATATAAACTGTTAATAGTTTAAGTAAACAAATATCACTAGAACAAGATTAAACAAATATTAATTATTGAAATTAAACACATTTTAAGAAAATCTAAAAGGTTTGTGATCTTCTGTTATAGCTACACTAATTAGAATTTGTGTAATGAATAAACAAGTGCATATTTAAAATTAATCGGCATTTTTACAATAAATATTTTCATCATCCACTAAATTTAATGTATGTTTAAAAAAAAATAAATAATGGACAATATACAATTTTTTTTAGTCATCTTTCAGCCAATTAGTTAATAACTTATAGTTAATTATTACATTTTAGAAGTATTATTTTTTTAAAAGCCCATTTACAAACTCATGTGCGTGTTCATACAATCAACAACCTGTGTTTTAAAATTAACAGAAAAGATTAAATAAAATGACCAGTATTATCCAAACTGCCACAAAAATATACAATTTTTATACTTTTTATAAAATGTATTGTAACTATCAATACAAAACAAATTTAAAAAAAAAAGAAAGAAAGAAAAAAAGGAGTATAGAAATAGTGTATTTTGATGGTTGTCAACTTAAATGTGTTTACAATTGCCATCTTGATATATAAAAAAAAAAAAAAAAAATGGGTATGTATAAATTAAAAACACTTTTTCATCAATTTCATAAAATATGATTATAAACAACCATGTATATTCATGACATATCGATCAATTCTCTCTTTTTGTATTTCCTGAATAAAAATAAATAAATCACAAGAACAAACTAAAATAAATTACAACTGAGCCTGACTGCGATACTTAACATGCTAAATGAGGTAGAGAAGAAAATAAATTATTTGTAAAACACAAAAAAATAAAATAATAATATTGACTATACTTTATACATTAAATTACAAAATAGATAAAAGTAACTATAAAAATTTTCATCACAAATAATAGGTAAGCTACAAATAAAATTGGGCTAGAAATTCGAGTTTCTAAATCGCAACAAACATTCCTCTCAAATGATAAATTTTAAATTTACTGGCCTTATGTTATAGGAAACCAGCTGCTTTGGGACAGACACTCCTATAATAGACATGGGCCTGTAATATTATAATCGAATAAAAAGGATTTTTTGGGTACTATTTCACAAGTGCTCTATCTGGATGATGTTTGGGCCAAGATCAGTTCGATCCCACTTGTAAATAGGAAGCCATGTGTATTCAATAATGCCCCTTTGTGATAACAAGTTAGGTTATGTTACATTTCATTCCCTTTTACTGATATCAGATATCAATCAAAATATTTACATAAATTTAGATTAAATTTCTTTGTTTAATTTTAAACAGTACTAAAGAATATTATCTTTTCTGTCAACAGACTGATAAATAATAAATTATACATAAATCAATAAAAACAGGTAGAATTCAGTTTTTTTTTTTTTAATCTTAGCTACTTTTAGCCTTTAATTTATTTTCAAAATTTAACGATATTTATTGTATTTGGATTTCTGGCTTTATAAACATTGTTATTCCCTAAGTTTTGTGATAATCATTTTCTGTTAGGAAGATAAAAATTATGTATATAAATTAGTAGAAAGAAGTGAAGGTAATGGAATGAATGGAAATCATACCTTTGAATTACAAGTAATTCAGATAAACTTGGCTATTTTCAGCATTCCATGTGAAAGTGTGATCAAAGTGATTGTAGACAACATGCCATCAAGAATTCAGCAATTTTTGTTATTTTTAATTATTAAGAATGGTACTGTGTAACTTCCTTAAAATAAAAGAAAAAGTAGAAATAGAAAATTTAAATTAAAAAAAAAAATATATTGCGTAAATGTTATTCTTTAAGTTGGATGAAAAATTTAATATTGTTTCAATCAAATTAATAAACTTATTTTGAAATAAGCAGATAAGTATTCTACCATCCCCTCTTTAACCGGTACTCCTCTACAATGCAAAATTCGTTTAAAAAAATATAAATATACTGCTTTCCTTGTTATAAATAATTCTATAAAAACTTTACAATTATTTTAAGCAATTAAATATTTTCTAGTATAAAATATTTAAGTATTAATCTAAGAAAAATTTTTAAACAAACAATGGATAAAAGATTTTATATTTAAAAATCAAATCATTTGATAATTTTTTTCTATTAAAATACATTTGATTGGGAAGCTTAAATCTTATATTTGTTAAGAGTTTACTATCGGGCCCAACTTTACCTGTAGCTGAAGGTGTAATAACCTTTAAACTTAATTCTAAGAAATAAATCACTAACAATTTGCACAAAGACTTACAAAAACATATTTACAATCATCATCAGCATACGTTCCTCTCTATTTTTTTCTTTGAGCCGTTGGTAACAATCACAAATCAAAAGAAATTAACAAGAACAAGAATAAACTTTCCAGATAAAAAACGAAATATGCAAATACATGAGAATACTAATAAGAAAATATTGAATATTTATTTTTAACCAAATCAACTCTCATACCTATACATACTTTTTTCTTAATTATTTTCGAAAATAAATAATAATAACATAGATAAAGAAAATATCTAATATATATATATATGTACGTATCTAACAAAAGCAACAATAATACAGCGTAAAAATTAAACAGTCTTGTAAATAAATACTTAATGCAATTTTGCATAAAGTTCTTATTTCTATTCATTTCTTTAAAAATATACATAACAAAAAAAAAAAAATCAGTGAATAGAAAATCTTCAATTCGATTTCTGTTCATAATTTTAAATTACAATACAATCCAGTTGACATTAAATTTTGAAAAATCATGGCACTTTGGTGTGCTTAGGATATTATATACCTAATCAACTTGACAATAAAAAATTAGAAAATTAAAATAAAACAATAATATTATCTGATCGAAAATATCAGTGTCTAAAACATTACGGTGAATCATTAGGACCCACAAATGCAGTCAATTTTTGTGATTCAAAAGATTCATTCACAAACATTAAATATTTCCTTCCTTAATAAGCACACATCTTGATAAGATATAAAAACATTCTGACATTTTTCACATTTTAGAAGAAAGACATGAAGAATAGATATTAAATTCATGAATTAGTTGTCTTTTCTAAGATCATTTTCTGCTATCACATCCACACCTGAAGAGAACAAAAAAAAAAAAAAAAAGACAATGATTAAAAAGAAAATAACATAAAATAAAATAAATTTAATTGAGTAGGATATTTCAATCATTCCAGCATTGAAAATTAAATTTAACCATTCGTACCAACAGAAATTAAAAGATAATATAAAGTAATGCACAAGTGAACATAAGATAAAATTTTGATTTGAATAAATGTGGTATTCAAAACTTAATTAACTTTCATAATCATAGATGAGTAAATAAAACACTATTATTTCAATAAAGCACTAAAGAAATCAAAATGATCATTAATATTAATATGTATTTCATTATTATTAAATGATTAAGGTTATTAATGTAATTTTTATCCGACTACAGTGAAACTACAAGGAAAGTAATGTGTTTTGGTTGACCGCTTGAAAATAAGTAACGATTTTTCGAGCGAATGACAGAACTGATTTTCAAGTTTGATGGCTCAAATTATTTAGTGAGAACATAATATTGTTTTAATACTTATTTTTAAAATTTTATTTAATTATCTATTTTTTTAGGGATCATCATTTAATGTTTCAGTCTCGTATTTACCTCAAGGTTGTCAACGGTTGATCCATAACACTGACCTGACCTTATAAAAGTAAACAATGATATATTCAAAAAACAGAAAGCTAACTTTTCATTTTTTTAATTTTTATTTTAACTCCCAGACGATCAGAAGAGGTTAATAAAGATACAGAAAAACAAGAACTCCTTAGTTTAATTGTCGGTACTTCTCTGTTAGCGGGTAGAGTCGAAACCTTCCTTCTTATCTAATCTCGTTTCAGATAACCATCTCGTTTCAGATAACCTCCCTTATCGACCCAATCTCGTTTCTCAAGTTATTGTGTTCTTTAGTTTAGTTGTTCTTTAGTATTCTTTAAGTTATTGTGTTGTTTAGTATTATATTGTGTTCTTTTGTTAATATTGTGTTGTTTTGTTTCAACTGGAATTATGGATGTTGTCACATTGTGATGTTGTCACATTTCGAAAAGAAAAAATCATATGGGGAGAGTCTTACCTCAGCAGTGGATGTTTGGCGGAGTTTGCCGAGAAACAGACGAGTGTTTTATAGTTAAAATAAAGGATAGGAGAGCAGGGACTTTATTAGAAGCTATCAAAAACAATGTAGAAGAGGGAAGCACGATTTATTCCGACTGTTGGAAAGGATACAACACAAAACAACTGAATGAAGCAAACTACGACCATTTTCAGGTCAATCACACATATAATTTTGTTGATCCATCAAGTTGATCCATCATCAATCGCTATTTTAAATACGATAAAATTATTTTCCCTACCAAAATAAAATTTTTCATATTTTGTTTCCATCGTTTATTCATAATCTTTGTTTCAGATGTACATATCCTGTTAAAGTACTTTTTTATTGTTTAATCCTTTTTTGTCTATTTTGGGCCTATTTTTATTATTTCATTTATTTTTGTATATATGTTGCAAAGTTTTCGTAATGTTTTTTAATTATATATTTATGTTTTGGTATATATTTATGTTTTTACGATATATATGTTTTGGTATATATTTATGTTTTTCAATATATTTATGTTTTGGTATATTTTAATATATACCTTGTGAAATAAAAGTATTTTTAAATATACGTTGTGAAATAAAAGCATTTATTATTACATTTCTTTCTGTTTTTGTTCACAATTTCAATAATATCAATACAATACAATCAATATGAATACGAACACATAATAAAATGAGTATAATACAATATATACGAATACGAAGAGCTTATCAGTGTTAAGGTTATAAACATTGGCGGATAGCAGTCGGACTCTACCCGCTAATAGAGAAGTACCAATTGTCAAACCATTACTCTAACCGAACCATTATCTCAGAACTGTAGGGAAGATTTAAATAAAGAATATATACTCAGCTTAACATACAATATATAAAACAAAATACCTATACAAAAAATGAATTCACTAACAGAACTTAAAACAACTGGACTGTCTTTCTTATTTAAAATGTTCATAAAAACATTTCATTAGAAATAACAAAATACATTTTATATCATGGGACTTTTTAAGATAAAATTACAAAAAATAAAAACGTATTTTTAATTTTTTTTTTTTAAATACGAATTAATATTAAATGAAAAAGACTAATAATAACATTAGACAACAAAGCAACAGGCATGATAAAACAAAAAACAAGCTACCAAAAACAGAAAATTACACATTCTTAGCGCGTTCGTACACTAAAATCATTAATTCAAATTACATTCCTAATTAAACAAGAATAAATAGTGACACATATTTCGAATAAAATGTGATAAGTTATTGACAGTTAACATCATCAAGTTTAACAAATTTGGGAAAAATCATTTTTCTACTTTTAAATTAAATTAAAATATTGACTACACATACATTAGGTAGTCTTCACACCTGCCAAAAGTTTGTCTATGTGCAATCACCTATAAATCAAAAAGAAATTTTAATATTGTTTTACTAATGTTGAAAGAGCTTATTTTTATTATGTTGAAAGAGAAGAAATACACCAACAATAAGAAAATTTAAGTGGTTAATTTTAATACTTTATTCTTATTAAAAAAAAATATATATGAAAAAGATTTTTTCAAAATAATGAACATATAAATATTTTTTTCTCATTTAACTTTAATTAAGCCATCTATTTTTAATTAACTACTAATATAGTAATAACATATAACAAAATTTAAAACATTCTGAAATTAGCGAATTTTGATTCCTAAAATTGTAATTTTCAAATTTCAACCTGCCAATGCATATTGATGGCTTGAAATTGGCATACATAGTTTTTTATTTTTCATAAATCAAATACTTTGTTGTTTTGAAATTTCATTCATTTCCTGAAATTTTTAAATTTAATTCTGCCGACGGAAACCCATGGCCTAACATAAATAGAAGAAGTTATTTTCTTATAATAAGTTATAAACCAAATAATTTGATGTAGTAAAAGCATCTTGAAATAGCGATTTTAGGCTCCTAAAATTTAAATTTTTTAATGTAACGCTGCTAGTAGATTGCTGTAGCTGAAAAAAAAAATCACATTTATTTTACTTAAAATTTTGAAGCTCATAAGATTGGTGAATTTATCAAATCAAAGTCTTAATTTATGAAATATAATCTTTCAAAGGAAAGAAAAGTACAAAAATGGCAGACTGTTCAAAAATGACACCTTCTAAGTAAAAAGGAGTGATAAATATTCCAGACACAGTCATTTTAAAGGTTTTTGGTGCCGACGTTTCAATCCAAACATCATCAGGGCTGATGATTGTTTTATACAATCAGAGATATATTATAATTGTATAATATGATATAATTGTTTAATACAATCAGAGATATAATATTATAAGATAATGGTTAATAATGAAAAAAATAGTGATTGATGATACATGAAATGGACGAATAAAATATGTAATAAGTTATACAAACCAAAAAATAATGTATGTAATCAATTTATAAGAAATGTAATATTTACTCTTACCAACCATGTTTCGAGCACTGAAGGTATTACAGTACAGATACTTTGGTTGGTAAGTAAAAGGGTCGGTGGAGGATTTTCCAGATGTGCTTTTAAGATAGCAAAGGTAGGTAAACAAAGTCAGAGGGAGGTGGTAACATTTTTGTTTGTAGAATACAAATAATTGAATAACTAAAATATTCAAGATGTATACAAGGTTTACGTTGTTTCTGATAGTTAAAAAATTGTGACTATTGGTTTGTAATGACATGATATTGTAATAAATATGGCTTGAAATGTCAGTGAAATGAAGTAGCTTTCCTCCTCCTTCCGCCGCTGATACTTCCTTGGAAATTTCCTGTACCAAATGATCAACTCCCAGCAGCCTTCCTATATCTACTGTCTTCTTCATCTCAAACTATCAGTTATAAGATCACGTGTCTTTGACGTATATATTAAATAAATCCTATGAATGTTCCTTCATAGCCCGCTCTGTTACTTTCTGTAATTCTTTACCATCTAACATCCCTCATGCCTTCCCTGTCATTATTCAAATACCTCCTTAAATCCCAAAGAGACAATATGCAAACATAAAATTTTTATCTAAACGAATAGTAGTGCCTACTGTTTAAGTATTAACATAAAAAATCAATGCTTCTTCTTTATTGAATTTTGTTATTTTTTCATGTGTCAGGTTTTCTTTCTGCTTTCTGTATATATACTGTAATATACACCTTTATTGGAAGTGGGTAAAAATGATTCAATTAATTAATTTTGAACAATTAAAAGGCAAGCTAATCTAGTTCTGGAAAAAGAAAATGGCTACTCTGCAATTTCCCAAGAAGGAAAATCCCAAAGAGGAGAGGGACAAAGGTTTTTGTTTTGGCAACAGTTGTTGTGTGACTGCAGTGAAGAGAGGTTAAGAAAAGATATCCTATCATTGCTCCAGAGGGTAAAACCCAGTAATAGTTTTACCATCTTAGAAGATCTTGTTTGGCAGGGAGAATAGTTGTTTGGAATTCCAAGAGAGAGGATTTCCAAGAGAGCTTGAGTTGAGTGGAAGAATAGTGTTACCATTTTCGAATATGTGTTTGGCAGAACATAAGAAAATGTGTGAAGACAAATAAGTTCAATGTCACAAAGAAAGAAACATTGTATGTAGAAAAAAGGTTAGCTTGTCAATTCATACTTGACTTTATTTTAAACCAGTGTTTAATTTTAATATAAATAGTGTAAATAATAATAGTTTTTCTGAGTTGATCTGATTGTCAGTAATCCACACCTGAGATAAATAAATATATTAATACTCTTATAATTTTGTTTTTTATTTAACAATCTCTTATTTCTTTTGGAAGTATCCCAATAGTAAGAAGTGAGCTTCCAATGTTATATTATTATTATTATTTTAAAATACAAGAGGCATGTTACAATACAGTATATATTTTTTTGTTCAATTTATTCACATTACAACTGTAACTATTCTTGAGATTATATTTTTATTTTTTAATATTTATAGATTATTTTTTAAATTACAGTATATATTAGAATGTTTACTAAGTTAGTTTTTATTAAATTAGTCTATTGTTTAAGTTTTTAACATCAAAAATATTTTTCTTTTCACCAGGTTTTGATTTTTCTGTCTATATATAATATATATATATATATATATATATATATATATATATATATATGTACATTTTTTTTTTTGTTTCTCACATTACAACTATAACTATACTTGAAAGGATTTTATTTTATTTTATTTTCATTTTTTTTAGTTGTTTACACATTATTATTTAAATTACTACATATATTGTTAGAATTTTTATTAAGTTAGTTTTTGGCCAGATATGTATTTTTTTATTTGTTCGCCATTGTTATTCAGAGAGGACTTTGTTCTAGAATAAAGTTTCTCCTCTATTATATTGTATTTAATTTTTCCTTTCCAATATTTTTCCATGATTTCAAAATTTAAAATGGGAAGGGGTAAACTTATATTCAAGCAAATATGGTATTTTAACAAAAAAATAAAATAAAATAATAAGAACCAAAGTGAGAAGTCATAAAGTTAATTCATAGTTCGTAAATTAGCATATAGCCTCATTTTGATTCTGATCATGCCCATTATAAAAGGATTTGGTACCCATTAAAGACCACTGTTCTAAAAACATTTTTTTTTTTCTTTTTTTCCGGAATGGTATTGAAAATTCCTCTCCAAAAGTTGTTTCTTTTCATACTCGATGGCTGCTATGAGCAAGCAGACATAAAAGTAAGTTTATTTATAAAGAAATAAAATAATAGAAGAATACCTTTGAAAGTGGAGCCAGGAGCAAGCCTTCTTATTTCTTGCCTCCTCGCTTTCCGCTTCTTACTGCCGACAAGGCTGCTATCTAGTTTCCTGCTTTCTTCTAGAAAACAATCACAAGAAATAATAAATATTTTAAATTTACCTAATCATGTAAATTGTCATGAAATATTTTGTAGCGAGTCGATACGTATTCACTGAAAGGTCAGTGTGTAAAGTCGCGTTTAAAATGTATTGAGGTGCTTGTTTAATAAGTCTAAACATTTTGGATTGTTTGTGTATGTGTGTCTTTTTAGCAGAACCGAAAATTTGAGAAGCATAAGACCAAATCGGTTTTAGTAAGTATGTGTAGGTAGCAAGTTTCTGCCTCAGTTTTAATTTTGATTGTGGTCTGTGTAATAAGTATAACAGTTTACTTCTTTGATTTAAAATTTTATGTTTTTTTCTTAATGTGTGGACCCCAAGTCATTCTTCAATCAAATGTTAGTCCTAAGTAGTTGACCATGTCTGTTTGCGGTAATGATATGTTATTGAAACATACAGGAGGGCAAGTTTCGCGTCTTAATGTAAATGTTGTGTTGGCAATGTTCATAGTTCAATCTTATTTTCCACATCCCGCACCAATCTTATAGTTTTTATGAGTGATGTAGTAGCATTAGTGAGGCCTGTGTAGGGTCTTAGTGTCTCGTTATGATTGCAGTGTCGTCTGGGTATGTTGCTGTTAGGATGTTGAGAGTGTCTGGTATGTTGTGTGTGTAAACAGTGTATAGCAATGGAGCAAGTACAAACCCCTGAGATACTCCTGCTAGTGCTAGTCGAATAGAAGAAATTTCAGGGCCCTGAAGGATGGAGAAAAATCTATTGGATAGGAAAGACTGAAGGATTAAAAAGTATATGCTGGGTTGTATTGTCTTGAGTTTTATTTACTACCTTAAATGTTAAATTTCTTAATTTTTGAATTTCTACTGCATAGTGCGCTTTAATTCCTATTTCAGTGTTGAAAGTTTATTACAGTGAGGGAATGAAAAGTTATTAATAAATATAGGCAAAATTTATATATGAAAAAAATAAATGAAATTATAAATGTAATGTATAAACAATATATTTATACATATATAATTTATTCATATAAATTATGAAAATTTTAAAGAAACTAACCTTGCAATGAATTACTTTTGTTGTCCTCCGTAGGATCATGGTTGCCATTTAAGGATTGATCATTAGGGGCTAAAAACACAAAGCCACTATAATTGTTCTTCATTTCTACTTCAGAATCATTGTTTTGACTAAAGTCAATATTTTCTTCACTGTCTGTTGCCATCAAGTTATCGTTACTATCTTTTGTAGGACTAACTATATCAAAAGAAGAGTTGGCTTTAGATTTTGGAATTTTTCTTTTCCCCTTTTTGATTACTTGAGGCTCATCGATATTCTGTAAGGGTAATGCATCATCAGACTTCTCTCCGCTATGGTCACTGTAAATAATTATATGAATATATCAGTAAAAATTGAGTATTTGTATTAAAAAATAATAAAATAAATAATTAAAAGTATATACCTTTCACTCATGAGATCATTAGATTTTTCACTAAATGGTGTTACAGTTCCGTTGGCAGTCCTAAAATATTAAAGAAAGATATTAATGAACAATATAAATACAATTTGTTTTCTATTGTACCAAAATATAAATACCATAACAACAATACAATATCAAAACCAGTATTAAAAAAAAAAATAAATTAAGAATTTTTTTATTGGTAGAACATATTTCTGAAAATCACTGATTATTCCAGTAGTAATTAAAAAACATTGAAACTCGAATTATGTCCCTCTGGAAAGAAATAAACTTGTCTTACAAAGAAAGATGTTGTAGGGAAGAAAAAGTTATAAAAATTGTATAATAAAAAATTAACTTTTTTTATACAATATTGGTACAACAAAAAAAGTATATATTTTTAATTTTCATTTGAATACATCGGTTAAATCATCTATATCACAATGAATGCCTCAATAGAAGGCAAAATACCACGTGGAAGGCCAAAAAAATAGATGGATAGAATCAACAAAGATGCAACAGAGCTGCGTGCAGATAAATGGAAAGAAATAGCCCAAGACAGGCAGAGATGGAGCAGGATTGTTAAGGCGGCAAAAGATCTACATGATCTGTAATGCCAAAAGAAAAAAAAGGGGTTAAAAAAGATTTAGATAATTTATTCCTTTTTATCGAATTATTAACATCCGGCTGAAACTTTGTAAATAGTTTCATCTCATCATAACCTACGGCTATTTTATTTACAAAAACTCTTGGAATTGGGGCGTTTTCAATCTGGAGGGAGGCAAATCTTGTCTATTTAATTAGGTACTAAAAACTCATAAATACCCCATTTGCTTTCTACTTGGATCTTTAGATAATTTGATCACAAAATCGATAAAAAATGTGGCCTACAAAAATATTTGGCCGTTTTTCCTATATAATATCTTTATTTTGAAAATTTGAGGGTGTAGATCACGCCAAACGGTTCAATATTTTTGAAGGCCACATTTTCTCTCAATTTTGTGATAAAATTATCTAACGATCCAAGTAGAAAGCAAATGTGTACTTGCGAGTTTTTAGTACCTAATTAAATAGACAAAATTTGTCCCCCTCCAGATTTAAAATGCCCCAATTCCAAGAGTTTTCATAAATAAAATAGTCGTTACGATGAGATCAATAATTCGATAAAAAGGGATCTGTACCACGGACTAAATGTTGATACTTGACATATAAAGCTCTAATTTTCTCTATTATAAAATAAAGTGAGCTACGGGGAATTTTAATGTTAATGTAGTTTCTCATAAGTAATTTAGTTTCTTTATTACTATAAACAGCATAATAATTATTCATATGACACCAACTGGGACACTAACGGATCCAGGATTTAATTTTGGGGGGAGCTTCAGCCCGAAAGATCTTTTTTATATGTATATATTAGGATAATTACTTCGGAAGAAAGAAAGAAAATAACTGCCTTTATGAAATGGTGTTTAAATGATTCTTTAAGTCCTATTAAATGTAATTAGATGAACAATACTTTTAGAGATAATATTTTTTCTTTAAACATGGTTATATGGGCCTTCAGCCCGAAAGCCCCTCCCCCATAGATCTGCCTGTGATCTGTGGGGGCAGGGAATGGGCTAACGTGTGTGCACAGCACCACGCCTTGCCGAACAACCTGATAACCAAAGTTGGAGATAATAAAATTACGAGTTCATGTCCCAGTGCCTAAAGGTCTTTTAAATTTAAAAACAATTTAAATAAAGATGGGGGAGAAGAAAAAAAAAGATATTTCTGGTTAATAAATGCTCTTTTAAGCAGCACCACGGGTCGACCGAATGAGTGCTTTGCAGCCAGACCTTAAACCAGATGTATATATTACAAATAGTAAATAGTATAGGTATGTTTTTCTTCTGTTTAAAGTCCATTTGCTTAAATTTTATTCATTAACCTTGTTTGATTTCAATATAAGGACCAGTGCCATAACTGAAAGATGAATGAATGTAGTGACCGTGGTCATTTATAACGACGATGTTTACCCATTCAAGGTTATTATAAACAATATCCACTGTATATTTATATCCAATTTGAAAAATGTATTTACCTACTAAAAAAATTCCCTGACTTTTCTCATTTTTTTTTTCAGGTTTTCCTGCCATTCAATAAAATAATAACTGGTTTGATTATTATTTATTTAATTAAACCGATATAAAAAATCAATAGAATATTACTTAGTAGTCTTGATTGTTTTGTTTCGAGATTTTTCGTTTTTATTACTGTTCTTGATTTTTTTAACAGGTAATACTTCATCCTTATCTTGATTAAGCTCCCACCTACAACACAAGAAAAATGTATAAAAATTATATAATAATCGATAAAATATGTTTTAAATCTTAAATCTTTTCATCTTGATATTTTCTACATACTTATTTTGGGAAATTACTGTTACACCTACTTTCAGTGGGGCTCTGCAGGCAATCAAATATTAAGTTAATTGTTACTTTGACAATTAAGGTAAAGCGTGAGCTTCGTTAACTTCGAGCAGCGATTGGACTATCTTGATAATATTACACATGATATCTCAGTTCTTAAAGACCGAACTCCGGGAGATGATTCTAGACAAAATTTCCAGCTAAAAAGTTCATTTGATGTATGGGGCGATTCCCAATGGAAACGGAGTTAAGACCAATTTTTCGTGGTCACGTTTGTTATTGTATAAGAAGAAATTGCTCTAATACTGTTCAAGATAATAAAATTCTAAGTAGACCATCGTAAAGTATTGTTTAGAAAACTGATTAAATTTACTAAGGTCAATGATACTTCAGATGATCAAGGGACTTTCAGGAGGTCCAATACAGCCACTGTATAGAGATATGGTGCTTGTAGTAGACATCCCCTAGTATTTACTCCTTTATGTAACATTGTGTGAGGGGATGAGAAGGAATATATAGGAATGTGAGGTTGCACGATGAATTGTACTGAATTGTGCAGTGGACAAATTATTCATTGAAAAGTCTCATATCAATAAACAATCGATGAAGAAGGAAGAAGGAAAAAGACTGAGCTGGTAGCAACAGCTGGAAAAAGACGCCGGAGAAGAGAGAAGGCTCTTGGGGCTGGGACAGGAAGGCGAGAGGACATGACCTGAGATGAGAGAGGCAGGACATTGAAGACCAAGAATATCAAGCCAACAGTTATAAGACTTTAATAGATTCACTTATTACAGTTGTAAAATAAATTGTTTTGTTAGACAGGAGCGAAAAGTCATTTATTTATTTAGTTGTCCTATATGCCTCACGATTGAAGAATAACAAACCAGGTGAGTCAATTCATTCAAAGTGTATTTACTTTATATATATACTTATTGTTTCTTCTCACTCAATGTCACAAAAGTATTAGATTCCTGCACTAGCGGATCCAGGATTTAATTTTGAGGGGGGCTTCAGCCCGAAACCTTTTTTTTCATAAAAATAACGATAATTACTTTGGAAAAACAGAAAGAAACTAACAACTACCTATATGAAATGGTGTTTAAGTTATTCCTTAAGTACTTTTAAATGTAATTACACGAACAACAATACTTTAAGAGGGATTTTTTAAATTTTTTTTCCCATAAAACATGGTTATATTTTTCCATTTTGGGGGGGGGGGGGGGGGGGCTTCAGCCCAAAAGCCCCCCCCCCCCGTAGATCCGCCCATGGATTCCTGAATTCCCAACAACAGTTAAACACCCTCAAAAAGTCTATATCCATTGGCGGAGGATTTGTTTAATAATCACGAGTGTAAATAACCTAGTTCCCCGATAAAAGCAGAAGGCTATTCGCAATTCCCACCAAAACAAATTTACATTCAACTCTTAATAGGTTATTTACATGCTCGTGTTTAGGTACTGTGATTGCAGCAGTACAGCGGCTGTATAATACCTCCTGAAAGTCTCTTTTACCATTGACCTTAGTAAATTTAATCATTGTTTTCTCAAAAAAATAATTGTCTACTTTATGATGGTGTACTTAGAATTTTATAATTTTTTATTTATTTAATCTTTATTTGTTTTTCAGGGAGAAACCCACACAAATAACGTCTATCTCTATATTATAAACATTATTATCCTTATTGAATTACAATATTTTTCTTCTTTTTTATGATACATTATAAATATTAGAAAAGTTTTAAGGATAACTTATGAATCACATTTATTAAAAAGTCAGACAGTTAAAATAATGCCTACTAGTAGGCCCGTGCGAAAAATTCGCACAGCATATTGTTATCAAATGCCAGATTAAAAATAAAATAAAATAATGCAACGTATCAAAAGATAAAGAAATAAAATGTTACTTTATCGATAAATATAATCGACAAAGAAAACAAAAATTAATTTAAATCTTCATTCTTGTTTGGAACCAACATGTTTACAAATTTCAGTAAGATGTATCTTTGCTAAAAATTGTCCAATTTTTCAATGATTTTTTTCTCCTTTTGTAGGGAATTAAATAATCTTTTATATAATCACGGGCATAACCAAGAGAAAAGTGTAATTTTTTAGTTATTCGCAAATAAAGTTTATTTTCTTTCATACCTTGTTTGCCTGAATTTTCAGGGTAATTGGACTATTTGTCCGCCTGAAGAAGGAAGCCTTCGAAATTGGTGGCTCTATCTTGAGATTTGGTGAAAAATTGACGATGACATGGCTTGCCGATCAAAAACACCATCGATAAATAATATAAACTCCTCCTCTCTCGATCATAGAGAATTCAAGTTGACGAAATGAGACATGTATTCAATGACAGTACTACAATTAATGTAAGGTTGAGTGGATGCGAATCCTATGCCTTGCGTTATCTCGAAAATAGTACATTTTTGGGCTTAAAAATGCAGGATCTGATAGCTCCGGAGGAACTATCCGGGTCTTGCTGTACGCATCAAAATCTTCAAGGTCCAATTTGTCCCATATCGATCTACAAACCTACCACCGTTCAGGTATTGAAGCCTAGCAAAATGTTTGTATCGACTTTATTTATTTTAGAAAGAAAAACAGAAGTGGAGAATACGATTCGCTAACCCCCCGTGAAATTCTGAGTTCAACAGCACTCCATTCATGGTATTTGAGCATGACAGGAGCTTATATTTGGTACAAAACCGATTTCGAGCCTTACTGTAATAATATATGTACAGATTATTACTAGTAATAAAAAATCTAAAATTGCCATTAGAACACACATAAAAAAAAAAATAAAAATATCAATAAAGATATTTTATTTTTTAAATATTAATATTAAATCTGGAACCTGTGGTCACTCAAGATAATAATCCTGATATAGAAATAAGAAAAAGGATAACAACAGGCAACAAATGCTACTTTGGATTAAGCAAGCAGCTAAGCAGGCGGATACTTTCCAGACAGACCAAGCTCCACCTCTATAATACATTGGTGCGTCCCGCACCTCTTTATGGATCGGAGTACTGGACAACTTCAAAGGCCACTGAAAAGGAACTCCTTATTTTTTAAAGAAAAGTTCTCCGCCGTGTTTTTGGTGAAGTGAAAGTTGGAGAGGAGTGGAAACGCCGTACGAATCAGGAGCTGTACAATGCTTTCCGGAAAGCTGATATTGTGAAATAAATGAAGTCGAGGCGCTTAAGGTATGCAGGGTATGTTGCAAGGATGGCAGACGGAGAAATGCTTAAAATATTGCTTACACAGCCAATCCATGGAACAAGGAGAAGAGAGAGAACAAAGCTGAGATGGTCAGATGGTGTGGCGGGAGATGCCCGTGGCATGTTCCAAGTTAGGAACAAGATCATGATGATTGGAGGAGGCCAAGACCTGTAACCGGATTGTAGCGCAATGAGAAAAAAAAAAAATTAAATCACGTTCTAAAATAAATTAACAGATTATTCACATAAACAAAGAAACAACCATGAGAATAAGATCCCAACAAATCTTTAATATTTTTTGTAATCCATGCCAACATCCAATCTACACTTTTTCTACATATCTTATTTTCTTCTTATTCAATAAAAAAACTTGAACATTTTAAGAAAAACACAAAATTGGTCTTAACTCCTTTTCCTCTCAGAATTGACCCATGCATCAAGTGAACTTTTTTGTTGGAAATTTTGTCTAGAATCATCTCCTCCCCTCCCCAGAGTTTGTCCATTAAGAACTGAGACACCCTTTATGGTATATATATATATATATATATATATATATATATATATATATATATGAATAAACGTGTTCCACTGATGTCGCTTCTACATCAAATGCATCAGAAAAATAGCTAATGAGTGTTATCGTAAAGGTATACTATTTAAATAATATCACTAAAATACAAACCTGTTTGATCTCCTTCTGTTGGCATAACTGGTCCACATGAACTCCCGGTAGCGCTGGCCTTTACATGCCCGGGCTCTTGTCCTCTTGGTGTTGACGTTCTCTTCTAAGATGTGTGACCTCCAGACTTTAAGCCTTTCTTCTTCCTCTTCAGAGGTTTCAGCACCAGGCTTAGATTTATCACCGTTTTCTTCTATTTTTATCTCTGGTCCAGTACGTGAGAGAGGAGGCTAATGAAAATAACAGTTCTTAACAATAAATTGTCATCAAATGATTTGCTTCATATCGAAGGCGGACATCCATCATTTTCAGAAAGTGGAGATAAAGTCAATTATTTTTTTTTTTTTTATATAGGTTTAACTCAAACTGTTTCAGAAGATTTTATTTAAGAATGTTCTAGTTCAATCATGAAAACAATTCATAAGAATTGGTTTAAGTTGAAACTATATTATGAAAATTGATTTTTTCAAAATGATAGATGTCTGTCTGATATAAAGCCACCAGAATAGATATATCAGGTGAGTAAACAATTTTTTAAATATTTATTTATTTTTATTTATTTATTTAGATCGCTTTGGTAGTTTTTCCCCTTGAATACAATATATTAATTATTATGTTATATATAATATTATTTATATTATAATTGTGGGTAAATGGTTGACTGTTATGAATAATGAAGAGAAGAATAGTTGGGGTGATCAGTCAAATAAGAAGGCAAAAATAAATGATAATATTTATTTTGACATTTGCCGACGTTTCGACCTGAAGTTCAGGCCTTCATCAGGGCTAAGAAAATAACCAGATAACAAGGTATGAGAAACATAAGTAGTGTAGGTAAAAAAAATTAAAGTAAAATGAAGTTGTTAAAATAATGACAATAGTAAGAACTAAGAGATAAATAATAATAACCGTTACAAAGTGTGGAATGATGAAGTAAACATAATCAAAAAAGGTGACATGAGTATTAAAATGGGAATCTTAGAATAAAATGTAAAACAGAAAAAAAAAAAGGAATATGAAGTTATATAAGAAATGAAAATAAATAGTAAAATAAGATATTGCGAATAGAATAGTTAGATAGAAAATTGAGATATTGTAAAGTCTATCAAGATTTACAGACAACATATAATATAATAAAGAGTTAAAACAGAGAAAAGGACTGAAATGAAGGAGGAAAGAAACTGAGAAGGCTGAAACAAGAAAGAGAAAAAAGAAAACAAACCTGTCTCCAAAAGTGTTAGCGGAGAAATGAATATGGTAGCAAGGGAGGGAGGAGAGACTTTACAATATCTCAATTTTCTATCTAACTACTCTATTCACAATATCTTATTTAACTATTTATTTTCATATCTTATATAACTTCATATTCCTTTTTTTTTTTTCTGTTTTACATTTTATTCTAAGATTCTCATTTCAATACTTATGTCACCTTTTTTTGATTATGTTTACTTCATCATTCCACACTTTGTAACGGTTATTATTATTTATCTCTTAGTTCTTACTATTGTCATTATTTTAACAACTTCATTTTACTTTAATTTTTTTTACCTACACTACTACATCCCTTCCCTTGCTACGACTTTTATTCTCCGTTCAACACTGTTGGAGACAGGTACTTTTTCTTTTATTTATTTCTTATTTCAGCTTTCTCAGTTTCTTCCCTCCTTCCTTTCATTCCTTTTCTCTGTTCTAACTCTTTATTATACTATACATTGTCTGTACATCTTGATAGACTTTACAATATCTCAATTTTCTATCTAACTACTCTATTCTCAATATCTTATTTTACTATTTATTTTCATTTCTTATGTAACTTTATATTCCTTTTTTCTGTTTTACATTTTATTCTAAGATTCCCATTTTAATACTTATGTCACCTTTTCTGATTATGTTTACTTTATCATTCCACATTTTGTAACGGTTATTATTATTTATCTATTAGTTCTTACTATTGTCATTATTTTAACAACTTCATTTTACTTTAAATTTTTTTACCTACACTACTTATGTTTCTCATACCTTGTTATCTGGTTCTTTTCTTAGCCCTAATGAAGGCCTGAACTTCAGGTCGAAACATCGGCAAACGTCAAAATAAATATTATTTTTGCCTTCTTATTTGACTGATCACCCCAACTATTCTTTTCTTCATTATTTATATTATATTGCGATATAATTATAATTATTATGAAATAGAAAAGGAAGCACAATATAACATACTATGAAAATATTAGAAATAAAAGGTTCAAATTATTGTTTTATTAAATATAAATATAAAACTGGACAAGTTGAAGATATATTATGAGTACAAGTAAAATTAAAAGTTTTTGGAAACGGTGGTTTCGTTGAGTTAATTTCATGTTGATAAAAGATAATACAATCTGAACTACAGAATGCATGTAAATTAAAGTTATACAATTTGAACAACGAGTAGTACAATTAAATAAACAGTTGTACAAATTGTAAAATGGGGGTTGGTCTGCCATAAGGTGGACAGGGGGTACTCCCCCAGTAAAATTAAGATTTATGAATTAATGGATGTTTATTTGTTAAATATTAAGGCTGTCATTAGGGTTACGATGAAAGTTTTTAGTAAATATCAATAAGGGAAGTAAATAAATAATAACGTTAAATGAGAGATATAATTACCTCAACAACAGGTTCGATATTATTGTAAATCTCGTCCCTGTACCTCTTTTTTAAGGGTTTAGGTAACGGAGGTTTAACTTCAATTATTGGTTCCTTATTTAATTGGAGCAGACTACTCAATCCACCAAGCTGGGATTCATCTGGAACAATAAATGAAACATTAAACATTAATCATTTTCAGTCCCTCCAGAAATGACGTAGGCGAAACCCCTATAGAGCAGGACAATTTAATGTTCACTGAACAAATTATTGCGACATTAATGATGAATATATAACGGAGGACTCATAAAGACTTGAAAATGGCCCTTAGTATGGCCGAAACATCATAATTAATAGGGTATCAATAAAATGTTGGTGATAATTGGTCTAATTTATGTAAAAAAATAAAACCTCAAGACACCAATTTTAGGAAAAATGAACAGAAGAAACATTAAAGATGTTTGTGCAAAAATATAAAATACAATAATAAATATTATGACACCATAAAGAGCATTTTTCTTTTTAAAAAATTTGGACTGACAGAAAAAAAAAATCTGGTGCAATATGATTATATGAACAAGTGAATCATAATTATTAAATAATATTTTTAATTTATTTTGGAAAACAAAAGGGCAAATAATGTACAATAAAAAAACTCGGCCCGTTTGAATAATTCGCAAAGAATATTGGATAATGAACAAATCACAAAATAATAATAATTCAACGTATAATAAGATGAAAGAATCATTTCCTACTTTTTCAATAATTATAATCAAATAATGAGATATTAGCAAATAAAGTTTTTTTTTTCCTTTATAAATTTTTCTTCTGAAATTTTGGGGGAATGGGAATATTTTTCCCACCTTAAGAAGATCTTCAAGAAGAAGATTTTCTGATGCCTTCAGGCTCAATTTGCTTCTATTCATACATTAATAGTTCCTTAAAATGTGATTTGTTTTTAATATTTATTTTTTTCAGTCATTGCTTTAGTTCATGCCTTAGATGTTCGATTGGGTTCCGATGATTGGTATGGAGTTTTTAATTGTCTTGGGTCATTATGGAGTAGCCATTCTTCAACTTTCTGCGCTTGATGTTTCTGGTGGCTGTTTTGTTGAAAGATAAATTATGACCTAATACCAAGATTCATTGCACTTGATTTTAATATGTCTGTGTACACATATTGGTCCATTATACCGTCAATAATTTTAAGTTTCGCCATGCCAGAAGCACTCACACAACTCCAAACTATGATTCTACCTCCATGCTTGACCATGGAACTCAAGTTTTTAGCTGCTTTATAAAAATATTTTTTTTTTAAAATAAGGTAAATTTACATTTTTCACTGAAAAAAACTACAATCTGCATTTTTTTATAACATTTTGCACCATTTGTGGTGTAAATTTATTGGCATAATAATTTTCAAGCATGACTGCAATAGAAGCTGCACTCGTTTTTTGGGCTTCATGAACATTTTTCATAATTTCTCATTCATGGATCCTTTGCAATATTTTTGGACATCCAGCTCTAAGTCAATTTTAAAAGTTTCTGGTGTCTTCAAACCTGTTGATGAATCATGGAATGATGTTTGGAAATTATTTTGCCGATTTCTCTCAGTGATTTTTCTTGTTTTCTTAAATTAACTACCAATTTTTGTATTTCAACAGATACCTCCATAATAAGAGCAAATACTATTAAATTCACATCCTCGCATGTCAGTAAATAATCAAATACTGAATAATTCATGAATCATAAGGCCTTCAGTTAAGGGATTATCACGTTTTGTTTAGGTTTTTCTGTTTATAAATAGTGTACATGGACTTTTTTTTTTATCACATTTTGCTGATTATATACTATAGTCAGCCAGGTCCTAAATAAAATTTTTATGGTACTTGTTAAATAGCGGGTTCGACTGCTATCTGCCAATGTTTATAACCTTAACACTGATAATTCTGATAAGGCACTGATAATATCTTGGTATTCATATTTATTGTATTATATTAATATTATTGAAATTGTAAACAAAAACAAAAACAAATGTAATAATAAAAAATACTTTTATTTTACAAGATATATATTAAATAGACAAAAACATCATGCATATATAGTGTAAAACATTATGAAAACATTACAACATGTATATAAAAATAAATGAAATAATAAAAATAGGCAAAAAAAATAGACAAAAATAAATGAAATGATAAAAAACCACTTAAACAACATATGTACATATAAAAGAAACAATATAAAGACTATAAACAAAATATGTACATAAAAATCAATTTTATTTTAACTTTGTTCCACGTTACCATAGTTGGCTGGGATAGTTTCAGCTGTTCTTTCCCCCACTGTACTGTTGTTAAATTATGAGGCCACGCCAAAATGAATTTTAAAGCCGTTAAAAAAGCAATCCTCGATCTCTCTAACCACATTCCTTTCCTTAAAGAAATCTTTTTGTTACAAGTACGAAAGCATTTCCATTTCGTCTTCCCGTCCAACTTCATTTAATGACCTTCATCACAATATTTCACCTTTGCAATTATCCTGGAGTCTTGATAATATTTGATAGCCTCTTCTTCTGAAGCCGGCAATTTATACAATGTAACACCATCCATAATTTTACGAAAATAACACTAACTCACAGCTTACACGAGGAACAAAAAAATAAACAATGGAATAACTTAGTGGATGATAAATATTCAGGACGCAGTCTTTAAAAAAAAAAAATTAAATTTTTTATTTGAGCCAACGTTTCAACCCAAACATGTGGGGGTCATCTTCCAAAGCTGAAAATTTATTGAAACAATCAGAGATATAATATTATACGATCGATAATGGTAAATAATAGACTATAGAGATTTGATGGTACATGAATCTTAACTATTATTACGATACACAATATTAAAAATGAAATATGTAAAAAGTTATAAAACTAAAAATAATATATATATAATCTATTTATAAAAATTTGTAATATTTTCTCTTACTAACCGTGGTTCGAGCACTGAAGGCTTTCAAGTACTGACTCATTTGGTAGGTAAGTGAAACGGTCGGGGGAGGATTTCCCAGTTGTCCTTTTTCAGATAGCAAAAGGTAGGTAAACATAGTCAGAGGAGGAGGGAGGTAACATTTCTGTTTGTAGAATGTAAATAATTTACTGACTAAATATTTTAGATGTGTACAAGATTTGCGTTGTTTCTTATGGTTACAAAATTATGAATATTGGCTAGTAATGAAATGAACATAAGCAAGAGTTGCCAATCAATATAAATTCAACAAGATTAAAGGTATTTTGATTAAAGGTATACAATGGTTAGCCAAATAAAATTTATAATAAAGACAATTGTAATGGATTGAAAACACACGTAGGACAATATATTATACAGTATTTTAAATATAACAATATTAATCATAATAGAACTATGTGCTACATTAATTCAATAATTTTGGAATAACTTAGGTTAAATGAGATAAGTCGAACAGTTATGTGACATAAGATTAGATAACAAGGGAGGTTTTGACCCGACTGGCTATTTAACAAGTACCAATTTTTATTAGTGGAAACTGCTTTAAATACCTATTCTAAATAGATTATTAACAAATATTTTTATTTTAAAGCACTCATTAAACGAAGAAACATTAAAATTCCTTTTGGAAATAACTGTACCCAGACTTTTTTACTAACTGTACATCAAACAATTAATAAAAATCAACATAATGGAGTAGAAATCAATAAGTGTTCTAATGTGTAAATAAATAATAAATGTTCTAATGGTGTTATGGAATAAACGGTGTAGAAATCAATAAAACTCAACATTAAAAAAAAATATTAAATACCTGCTAATTTTCCAGGAACTATTCCTGGTTGGGAAAAATCACTTTGTTGCTTCCTGTATTTTCCTCCAGGCATCCTGAACCACTTTGCCCTAGAGGATGGCTTGATGAGATTCTCTTTGTGCTGCAAAAAATAAGAAAAAATATAAATATTAATGTTGAACAAAATATGTCTCTCAATGTTTTAAACAAGAAACTTAGTAAAGATTGCAGTCCATCAACTTAAGCAAAATTTTATTGTACAATATACACTGACAGGCGAAAAATTCCACCCACTTGATTTTTTCATCTAAAAATATTTCTGCTTTGGATTGGTCTATTGTTTTTAATGAATAAATAGGTAATCTTTTTGTTTGTTTTCAATTAGGAATGTTAATATAGAGGACAATAACCCTTAATTCAATGAAATGATTCTAGATTCCAATGTTTACTTTCTATGGAATTAAAATGTTTATTCAGTATCATTAGTTCAGTGCCGTTTCTTGCAGCACATTTCTTAGTCTCCGGATTTTAATTTTTTCAATATTAAGTTTAAAAATGCCTCTTAGTGCTGAGGATGTTGCGCGTGGTGTGGCACTTATTGATGATGGACGTTCTATTAGATATGCAGCTAATGCCATTGGAGTTCCATATGAAACTTTACGAGACGCTGTCAGGTGTTTTCGGGAAACTGGTTCTTACAATAGAAGGCCCCGTTCTGGACGGCCTAGGGTAACAGAACCACTGGATGACCGGTTTTTGACTTTGAGGATTTTACGAAACCGGCACCTTACCGTTGTTCAAGCGATTCATCAGCTCGAAGAAATTCGAGGTGTGCAAATTTCTGAACGTACCGCTCGGAGAATATTAAATGAGTATGGATTAATGGCTTTTTGTTCAGTAAGAGGACCAGAGTTGACCAGAACTCACAGAGTAACAGGGCTGGCTTTTGCTCGAGAACACAGCCATTGGACTATGGACGAATGGAATGCTGTACTTTTTACAGATGAGTCAAGATTCGCTCTTCGATCTCCAGACGGGCGTGAAAGGGTGTGGCGAAGAAGAAACGAAAGATATGCAGCCTGTAATTTTTCCCAGAGCCAACCTTTCCAATGTGGTTCCTTAATGGAAAACAAGTGGGTGGAATTTTTTGCCTGTCAGTGTATATTGTTTTTCATTGTATTTCTAAAGTACAGGTTGTGTTTTTCATTATAGAATAGAATAGAATAGAAAATAATTTTATTCTGGAACTAAGTCCCTTTAGAATAACAAAAAAGTGCAAAATTAAAATATTACATCTGGTCTAAATAAAAACAAACACAAAAAATAAAAACAAAGAGAAATAAGTAAAGAAAACATTAGTTAAACATACTATATACAAAACAAAAAAAATCTATACACAAAACACTTTAAACTATGCTAAGACGTTTAAAACTACGTATAGTGGTAAAACATAAATATACACTTTTAAAAAAATAAATAAATAATAATCATTATAAATAATAGGTAATCAGTAGGCCTGTGCAAAAAAGTCGCACAGCATATAGTTAAGTGATCAAATGCCAAATTAATAAGAAAAAAAATAATGCAACGTATCAAAAGATAAAGAAATCAATTGTTACTTTATAGAACAATATAATCGACAAAGGAAACAAAAATTAATTTAAAACTTCATTAATGTTTAAAACCAACATGTTTACAAATTTCAATAAGGTGTATCTTTGTTAAAAATAGTCCGTTTTCGATGATTTTTTTTTCCCTTTTGTAGAAGGGAATTTAGTAATCTTGTATATAATGATGGACATAATCAAGGGAAAAGTGTGTAATTTTCGAGTTATTCACAAATAAAGTTTCTTTTCTTCCATAACTTGTTTGCCTGAATTTTCGGGGTAATTGGACTATTTTGCATGCCTGAAGGAGAAGAAGAAGAGAAACCTTCAAAATTTGTGGCTCAATCTTGGGATTTGGTGAAGAATTAACGATGATTTGGCTTACTGACAAAAAACACCTTCCATAAATAATATAAACTCCTCCTTTCTCGGTCATAGGGGCCTCAAGTTGATGAAATGAGACATTTATTCCATGACAGTACTACGATTGTGTGGGTGCAAAACCTTTCCTTGCATTATCTCGAAAATAGTACGTTTTTTGGGCTTAAGAATGTAGGGTCCAAAGGAACTATCTGAGTCTTGCTGTACGCATCAAAATCTTCAAAGCCTGATTTGTCTCATATCAATCTACAGACTTACCACCGTTCCAATATTGAAGCCTAGCAAAATGTTTGTATCACTTTATTTATTTTAAACAGAAAAAGAAAAGCAGAGAGTACGATTCACTAAACCCCCGTGAAATTCTGAATCCAACGGTACCCCATTCATGGTATTTGAGCATGACAGGAGCTTATATTTGGTACAAAACCGATTTCGAGCATTACTGTAATAATACATGTGGAGATTGGTGATATGTATGCAGCCCAGATTATTTTAACAAAAGTTTTTGGATTAATTAAGTTCTTAAACTATAGCAAAGAATTTGTAACTCTACAAGAAATTAATACTTGTTAACACTATTAAATGTGTATAACCCATATGTAAGGCCAATTTCTATTTTATCTGGTAGATATTAAAATATAATATTGCATTAATAACACTCCGAATGTCGATATTTCTGTAGTGCTTACAAGTCCGGCTTCCAACTGGTAATTGGAAAAAAATATTATTATTTCGCGAAAATTAAAATTAATCTGTAATAGAAACTATATAAAATAGTCACTAGCGGATCCAGGATTTATTTTTTGGGGGGGGGAGGGGCTTCAGCCCGAAACCTTTTTTTTTCATAAAAATAACGATAATTACTTTGGAAAAACAGAAAGAAACTAACTACCTATATGAAATGGTGTTTAAGTTATTCCTTAAGTACTTTTAAATGTAATTGCACGAACAATAATACTTTAAGAGGTATGTTTTAAATTTTTTCCCATAAAACATGGTTATATTTTTCCATTTTGGGGGGGGCTTCAGCCCGAAAGCCTCCCCCGTAGATCCGCCCGTGAAAATAGTTGTTTAATATAGAAAACTTTTTAAATTGTGTTTATTCATAATTTTAACATTCTAATCACGATATATATGTAATTTGTATCTACACCTGGTCTCATATCCTTCTCTAAACCTCACTTTTAATCCAATATAACTCAATAATATTGAAAAATAATGAGACAATTTTTCCATGCCATTTCACACTTTATAGAAAAAAAAAATGTTAAAAAAAATATTATTTACTAATTGTTTTAAGTTAAATGTGTGAGTAAAATTATAATATAGCAAGACAATATCGCCAAAGGGACTCTCAATACTTTGTATAATTGCAAGTACATAAATAAAAAAAAATAAGTAAGTAAAAAAGTATGTTCAATTATTTATTGTTTCAATCAATATTATTATAATATTCAAAGCTTAAGTGAAAATAACATATTTTAATGTATCTTATATAAAGTATTTAAATTATGTTGTAATAACTTTGATAATTGCATTTTTATTTTCGATTTGAACATTTTACGAAGAATAGACAATTTAACTTTAACATTTTAGACTGAAAATAAATTTCTGATCCAACATAAAAAGTTATCGAAGGTAATAAGAAAACTAATGACTAATAAATTTTATAGTTAATAATTCTACTTTAATGTAATTGAATAGAAAACAAATGTTTCCATGAAATTTCTATAGAAACTAACTGAAATTTTTTAAAGTTTATTTGTATGATGCCATACACTACACTAGATTTTTAAATTAAAAAAAAGTAAAAGTGGCTACTAAATTATATAATTTATTTGTGAATCATTTAAAAAATGTAAGTAATATATATGTGTGTATTTTTAAATAAGATGATTTTAATTAATGAAGTTTGGTTAAGTGTTCACAAAAAAATTATAGCAATACAAAAAGTAACAAAATATAAACATTCAACAACTACATATTAATATTAATTGCAGGTAAAAAAACAAACAAAATGTACAATGATATGTACAATTTAAAGATAGTGAAATGTTTTGTAATGTAAAATAATTTACTCACGAAAACGTCATGTTATGAACATAAATAGTTAGAATAATGAAAGGGTGTCATTAAAAATATTCTTATAATTATATAGAGGCAAAAATATATGTTTTAATTCGAAAAAGAACTAATGCACAAGCTTCCAGCGTTCAAACAAGGAAATTCTAGGAACATGAATAATCATTTTTATAAGTGTTCTAGCCATGCCAATGTATGCAAATAGTATGCAAATAAGGCAAACTAAATTTAAATACAGGTGTGGGCTAAAAAAAATTATAACTCATAGTTAAAAAAAATTAATTTGTTTTAAATTATCCAAAGGAAATATCCAATTTTAAACGTAGATCTGAATAGGAAAGACACAGAATACTGATATGAATATTACAAGCAAAGTCTGGAATCGTAAGCCATTGCATATTTTGTTTGTATGCAGTTTGAAACTGCTGATCAAATATATTTATGACTCAGAGTATTCAGATGCAATTAGTCAAATTTTATAATGCATATTTTCGCATATTTAATGATTAATGCATATAATTGAATATTTTGATTATTTCAAATTAACAAAAAAACTAAGGTGTGTGCTTTAGACCACACGATAGAAGTGAAAACATCAATAAGGCGAGATTAATAATATGAAATATAAATTATAAATATGTCACATTTACTTGTTGTATTTTTCATGTAATACACAGTTGTAAATTTCATTAAAATAAAATAAAATTATAAATAATAGCTCATTAGAAAGAGGATGAAATGCTGAATATTTCCCTCGCTTACAGTATGCAGGTCCATTTCTGAGATATTTTAACCCACATATTCCATGAAACTCTTGTTATAATTTGGTTTTCGACACTATTTTTCCCTTTTCGTCTCTCTAATACAGCGTCGTGTTCAATAAAAAACTCATTAAAAAGATGATGAAGTGGGGAACATTTCCCTCGCCAACAATATGCGAGTCCGATTTTTAGTTTTTGAGATATTTTAATCCATTTGTCTTCAATTTGTCGACTCCAGCCAACTTTACTCGAGCGTTTCAATATTTCAATTTTTGATATTTCATATTATCTTTTTATTTTTCACATTACAT